GCCAGAGGTGGGTTTGAATACACAGACCGTCCTCTGGATGCTGTATAACGTACCCACCCCCAAGGCCCTATATGTATGTGTTATGTGAGAGTGTGAGTAATGTGGATGTCTAGGTTGCAGAATAAACATAAAGTCATGTTCTTCTCTACACACAACTCTTGGCCTCCAGGGCATAAAACTTTAGACTTATAACCAAAATAATACCTATATGAGACACAGTTTATGATTCTAATGTTAGAGACCCTGCAACTGGCGTTTGGGCTGTGCAGGGGTCTCTCTCTTCTGGAAGATGATTGAATAAAAAGAAATATAAATGTTTTAATACACTATGAGTCGGTTTTCTCTGTTCTATCATGGGGACAAAAAAATTTAATAGTTTAATACCTGTCACTTCGGGCCTTAACTAGAACTGTGCCTGTGGTCTCCCATTTCCTCACTATGTTCCTCACAGTGGAAGCTAACAGCTGAAATCTCAGAGGTAGCTTTTTGTACACTTCCCCTAAACCATGATGTTGAACAATCCTTGTTTTCAGGTCATTTGAGAGTTGTTTTGAGGCTCCCATGTTGCCACTCTTCAGAGAAGATGCGAAGAGGAGAAAAACTTGCAATTGGCCGCCATAAATACTCTCTCTCATGATTGGATTCACCAAACAAACTTTGTGTTCCAATAATCGGTGCTAAAGGTATTTAAATCAATAAAACAATAAGGGTGCCCAAATTTATGCACCTGCCTAATTTTGTTTAAGTAACTATTGCACACTTTCTGTAAATCCTAAAAACTTCATTTCACTTCTCAAATATCATTGTGTTCTTATGCTGTATGATATATTTAACTGAAATTGCTGATCCAAACAACTTATGAAGAAAAATCATGGAAGTGATCAGGATGCCCAAACCTTTGCATACCACTGTATGTGACTGCTAAAAACAGGTTAGATCAGATGCTGATGTACATTCATTTTGCAGATCTGCCCTTTGTTCACTCTCTGTTGTGTTGAATGCTTCATCCACTTTACAAGTAGTTATAATATGTTTGTTCATTATCTGTTTATTTAAAACACCTTTCGTGGCTTTGTCCTTAAAAATAAGCAATTTGACAGAAATCACACCAGATATGATGAATCTCACATTTTATCTCAAAATATAAAGAACTCTGAAAATGTCTTGGGCTATCTGTCATTTTTTTTAAAAAATACTTTATTAGGAATAGGTGCAATGATTTATGGAAAAATGAACAAACATACAAACAAAAGTATAAATTCAGTATATGAGGCAAAAAGAGAGTCTGTATAATTCTAACAAGCTTGAAAGTGAACATTCGGTATGATCGTCTTTAACAAAGACTCTTGGGCAGCTTTCTTGTCATTTCCTTTGAGGTCTTCAGGAAGAGTTCTCCAGACTTTTTGAAGGATGTTCAAAACAAATTTTTCTGTTCTCTGTTACACAGAGACTATAGACCATAAACTAGAGACAGTTTTTTAGGCACACTGCACATTGTCACGGTCTGCAGAGGCAGGCCGTGCGGTGGTGTGTGTAATGGACCCAGGAGCGTACACAAGTGAGTAGACGGGAGTGAGTTTAACAGAAAGCGAGCCTTTAATATGACTGAAGACCAGGAATACAAACACAGCAGGGATAGCGTGGCTGAACTATAACTAAACTGGGAAAACTAATACTGTGACAAACTAAGAGAACTCTGAGACGAAGATGATCACAAAAGACTGATCGTGAAAACATGGGGGTGAGAACACAGACGACGCGACACAGACTACATGAAACACAGAGACTAAATACACAAGAGGGATGATCAGGGGAAGTGGCCACACATGGGAACACAGCTGACACAGATAAACATAACAAGACATGGCAGGAGTAAACAACACTGACGAAAGACTGTCA